TGGCTACCCGTTGACCAGGGCGCCGACATGAACGCCACTGTGCCGGGCCCTCGTGGACGTCCACTGGTTGCTCGGACAGATGATTTTGTAGCACGTCCGCTTCGTACTTCTCAGTCCGCCAGCAGGCGCAACAAAATATGTTGTCAACGCCGTCTCAGTTCGGTGAAACCTGCCGCCGGTCAAACCGCGACGACAGGTGATGAGAGGAACGCAGATATGACCCTCGATTTTACTGCTGTCTGCGGGTCCCAGACCCAGCAGATGCTCGACGGGAAGATCGATTTCGATCAGCCCAATGGGCTAGTGCATGCTCACCGCGATGACAAATCTACGAGCATCACGCTGACCAAGAATGGAGTCATTGATGTGGCGGCTCAATATGTCATGGAATACATCAGCTATCGCCCGGGCACAAACGAGACTGAAAGGTTACAACTGACGGGTGAAGTAACGCATGATGTTCCTGAAGACGCGCGGCACACCATTGAATAGAATTGGAAGGTTCCTGTTCAAGACCTTGAGTTGGGTCTCCGCATCATTCGCGTCATTGTGCTTGTTCGTGAGTTCATTGGTTGTTTCATTGCTGAGGGATGTTCTATTGCATACCCTTCGGTGAATTTTCTTGCCCGCGGCAGAGGCGTAGAGTGCGATGGCGACAGGCGCCTGACAGATGCATGCGCGCTTGATTGCCACACTCGGGCTGCGATCGAGACAGATGACCTCATTGAAAGATGGTCCCATGATTTGGGCAGACAGGGTCGCGCAGATATCCGTCGTCAGGGCATGATGCTGCAAGGGGCTATCCACTGGTTATACCCATATGAAGAAGCATCTCAGCTCCAAGATCCAGAGGAAGGCCCCTTCCGCACTGCCTGCGGTATTGTTGGTACTTTTGTTGCTGCCGCCGCAAGGGGTATTATTATATATGCTAAAATGCAGCGAGTGACGAGCGTTCGTGAAAGGGGAGGAGCCGATCGGCCCTCCGACGGCCAAGCCGTTACGGAGGGGGCCCCTTTGGCGAAAGCGAGGCCCAGCCCAGCTGTTCGCCCCGATCCGCCCCCTCCGCCCCGTAGACCCGACGTCCAAGAGGATCGGGCCAATTACGACGTCACTGAGTCTCCGTACTCTGCCGGCGGTCAAACCGGCGCGGCAGGAGAAGAGTTCTCGTGGTTTTCTTCCGACAGGGACACATGGGATTGGTCAACGTCCGCGCGCGCGCGTGGCGGGGCCGTGGCTGCTGGGCGCGCTGCCGGCGACTACAACCCCGCGATCCACTACCCGCACTACGCGGATGATGAACTGGAGGGATACTGGGTTCACCGTGACGTGATATATTGGATGAATCCCAGAGAGAACCGGGATCGCGCGTGGTACCTGAACGACTACAACTACTACTTCCCGAGAAAGGAAGGAAAGGGGTATTCCAAGAACGGGAACAAGAACAAGGACAAGTACAACAGGACAGCTCCCTACGTTGGCCGTGGCAAGGGATGCAAATCAGCCTCGCCCTATTGGGCTGCGGACCAGACGGGGGGTTCGTCGTCTTCACATCCGAGACCTCCGTCTCCGCCTTCTGGGCGATTCCTCTAGAACAACAGATGACAGCAGGCAAGGCCCAGGCGACAAAGTCGCCACGGGCGAGGCCGAGCGACAAAGTCGTATCGGCGGAGCGAATTCATTTAACTATTGGTGGGATTCGTCGGGCTTCTCCGGCCCTCAGCCCCCTGGCAACCACCGTTGAGCGGTAAAATACTTTTGGGGTTCGCTCCGGTGGCTGTATATATGTGCAGGCCAGGCGGGCTGTGGCTGGTTGGACTCTACAAAACCCGCCGCGGGGGGGAGTAAATATGCTCCTGTCCGCCTCATTATGCACTTGCCTCCTCTGCTGCCTGCCTTGCCACACCTTGACATTCCTGCGGTACCGTCCCGCAGCTACTCTTGTACTCAAGCGAGAAAAGGAGCGCGCCAGCCCTCGGCCGCCGCGCGTCGTCGGTCGTCGGCCGGCCGGACCTCCTCCCTTCCTATACTTGAGTGCAGTTGTTTAACGGTTCACTTGTATTGTTCATCGATGTCTCATCCCGTATCCTCTACCTCTGAGCAGAGTCAACATGAGACTTTAATTCCTTTGACATCTTACCCCGATTCTCAGAGGAAAGACTTCAGGCCATGGGCTGTCCGTTCACATGTCCTCCCTCCCCCCAGCCCCAAAAAAACGGGCCCCAGACTTGGGAGGATTTCTTATATGACGAGGGCGTCGGTGGGTATCGCCTGCGGTGGATCCCCTTTTATGAGGGGTGTGCCGAAATGGGGCAGGGCCGCAGTGCGGGGCCTGCCACTTAGGCCGTAGGTGGGGCTCCCTATGGCGCCACGGTCCGCGTGAGGGGTGCGCCGACATGGGGCGGAGCCGCCATGCGGACCCTGCCACTTGGGCCTTGGGTGGAGTTCCCTGTGGCGCCACGATCCGTCTCAGGGGTGCGTTGACTTGTGGACTCGGGCATCCGAGACAGGAGCGGGAGGAAGGAAGAAGGAACCGAATGATGATGCTGATGATGATGATGATGATGATGGTGGTGGTGGTGGGGGTGATGATGCTGTTGATGATGATGATGATGATGATGATGGTGATGGTGATGATGATGATGATGAGGAGGAGGAGGAGGAGGAGGAGGAGGAGGAGGAGGAGGAGGATGATGATGACGTAGCACCCCGTGAGAGAGGGAGGGGGCGGGCGCGGGCGACGCGGGCGTCGAGCCGTTCAGTGAACGTTGCTTGGCTCGTTCGGTGAACGTTCAGTGAACGTAGTTTGGGTCGCGGGTGGGTCGCGGGCTCTCCACCTCCACCTTGAAGGAATTCAAACACAGCCCGCCGCAGGCGCCGACCATGTTGATTTGTACACTGAACGCGGTTTGGGTCGCATGTTTTCCACTTGGAACGAATGCAGAAGAAACCCGCCGCAAGCGCCGAAGTTTTGATTTTCTCAGTGAACGTAAGATGGGCCGCGGGTGGGTCGCGGGTTCTCCACCTCCACCTGGAAGGAATTCAAACACAGCCCGCCGCAGGCGCCGACCATGTTGATTTGTACACTGAACGCGGTTTGGGTCGCGGGTGGGTCGCAGGTTCTCCACCTGGAACGAATGCAAAAGAAACCCGCCGCAGGCGCCGAAACTTTTGGGTGGGTCGCGGGGTGGGTCGCGGGTGGGTCGCGGGTGGGTCCTGGTGGGTCGCGGGTGTGTCGCGGGTGGGTCGCGGGCGGGTCGCGGGGTGGGTCGCGGGTGGGTCGCAGGTGGGTCGCGGGTGGGTCCCCGGGTGGGGCCGGGGGGGTCTCGGGGTGGGTCGCGGGCGGGTCGCGGGGTGGGTCGCGGGTGGGTCGCAGGTGGGTCGCGGGTGGGTCGCCGGGTGGGTCGCGGGTGGGTCGCGGGGTGGGTCGAGGGTGGGTCGCAGGTGGGTCGCGGGGTGGGTCGCGGGTGGGTCGCGGGGCGGGCCGCGGGTGGGACGACGACAACAAACAACAACAAACAACAAATAACAATAAACAACAACAAACAACAACAAACAACCAACAACAAAAATAATCCGCATCGCGGAATTCCACTTCAGCCACGCACCAGGGACAGGGAATGACCGTTCGGTTCAGCCCCCCTCACTCTGACGATAGCCGCAAGTGCGTTGCACCCCCATTTCAACAACGTTGGCTTGACGCGGGCCGCCTCAAGCAACGTCAGAGCTCTTGATTCCAACTTCCCCAAACGACCGCAGGCTTAAATGCGAACGGCAACACTAGTTACACCTGTTCCTGGACGCCCGATGACCGAGGACGAACTTTCGGGAATTCCGAATCGCGAAAAGCGCCATTCCAGAGTTTCCGTTGAATTTAGGAATAGTTTTCTCTCAATACAAACCACAATTCCGGAAATTCCGAAACGACGTTCCGGAATTTCCATAATCACAAAAATGAGTTCTGGAAATTCCAGAATCTCCGGAATCGCGTGCCCCGCGATACGGCGTCATGGATTTGTTTTCTTTGTCGCCGTTCAGATTGGACGGCGGTCGCTTAGGGACTTGGGATGATCTGATCGACTTTGTTTGAAGCGGTCGACGCGCAACCAACGTTGTTGAAATCGGGATGCATCGCACATGCGGCTATCGTAGGTAACATCGTTATTTTCAGCATCGGCATCGCACCCCTTTATACCACACACCTTCCCAACCTCTTGGGGTCTTAGGTGGAGCTCCCTATAGGGCCGCGAAACGTGTGAGAGGTGCGCCGGAATGGAAGTGGAATTTAATGCGGACCCTGCTACTAAAGCCTTCGGTGGAGAAACCGATGGGACCACGAAGCGTGGGAGGGGTGCGCCGGAATGGGGGTGGACCTGCATGCGGACTCTGCCACTAGAGCCCTCGGTGGAGCACCCTATGGCGCACCAAAACGTGTGTAAGGGGTGCGCCGCAATGGAGGTGGTATTGTTTGCGGACCCTGCCACTTGGGGCTTCGGTGGAGCACCCTTTGGGGCCACGAAACGTGTGAGGAGTGCGCCGCATTGAGGGTGGAGCTGCATGCCACGGGGCCTTCGGCGGAACACCCTATGAGGCCACGAAACGTATGAGGGTGCGCCGAAATGGACGAGGAAATGCATGCGGACCCTACCACTGGGGCCTTAGGTGGAGCACCCTATGGAGGACATGCGGAGGGCAGAGGTAAGGGATGGGAGGAGGGAGGAGGGGGAGGAGGAGAGGAAAGGAGCGGGAACGCGGTGCGCTGTCCCTTCAAAACGAGAACCCAACACCACCGAATGGTTTGGAAATAGGCTCCAGGCTCTGAGGGATCCCTTATCTGACGAGGACAGCGGTGATACGCATGACATGGCCACACCACCACTGAAGCTGTACCGTCCTCCAGATCCTCGATTCCTTAGCTAAGATTTCCTTATCCAATGCCCTCGCCGTACGGGGTGGAAGGGGGGGGAGGAAACAAGGGCATACGACCCCCCGCCGGCGCCGAGGCCGCCCCCGAGCACGCCGCGTACCCCGACGGTGGCGCTGGCCACTGGCGGGCGCCCCCCGACGTGGGCGGACGGGGCGCGCCGGCCGAGGCGGGCGCCTGGGTGGCGCCCGCGGAGGTGAGCGCCTGCGCGGCGGAGGGGTGACAGGAGGGCCAAGCCGGCCGGCACAGGCGGCTCGAGTCTTGGAATCGACTACACGAAAGAGTGGGCCTTCGCTGGAGTGGCCTTTGGTGCGGGCCCAATGGGGTCCCCCGATCGTCGAACTCGATGCGGTAGCAGCGGCTTGCGCGCTCGTGTCGGGCCCCCCCCGCGTACCCTGTTAAGTCGCGCACCCAAGGTCACTCTTACCCAGGGTCACTCTTGCGCGTAGCCGATTGGAAGAAGCAATGGCGTACGCAGAAACTTTCGGAGCTCCGCGCGGATGTCTTGGATCTGTGCTGGACCCCCTGGCGGCGCAGAATCGACTGCATCTTGTTCTCGTCGTCGTAGTCGTCGTCGTCGTTGTCGCCGACGCCGTCGCTGCCGTCGTCGCCGTCGTCCTCGCCCTCCTTTCCGAAGTCGATGTCTGGGACTCTCCTGGGGTGTCGAGAAACCCACCCAGGAAGGCCCACAGAGGACGAAAAACAGCGTCGACCGTTGACCTCGAATATCGAAGCCCCCCCTCTTCCTGCTTTTTGGGGTTGTTGCGTTGAGCGTGCTTCGATCTACGATCGCACCGTCTGGAAGCGGCGATGCAGAAAACACACGGCGTGCATCCGCGCGCCGCGCACCCAGGAAGCAGCATGGCAGAGGGCAGCGGCAGAGCAGACGGGCCCGCCGGGGCTCGGACTCCTCCTGCTGCTCCTCCCCCTTCCTCGCGCAGCCGCTTCGCCTCAGGGCCGGCCAGCCCGCCTCTCCTCGCCACGGCGAGGATAGGCCGCCGGAGATGGGCCAGCAGGTGACCTGCGGCTGCTTCGGGCGCCACCCTCAGGAGGAGGCCAAGTCTGCGCCCAGGCACGCGTGCAGGGAGGGGTTCGAGCATCGAAGGTCTGAGGTCGTCAGGTTCCGTCCTTCGCTTTTCGCCTGCGGGAGGCCTCCCGTCGTACTGATGGGGCCCCATCGAGGCTCTGGCCACAACACACCCCGGGACCCCCAAAAGAGGTCCCGAGGTCGATGTCTGAGGGAGGTGGCCGATGAGGATGAGGAGGATGAGGGAGGAGAGGGACGAGAGGATGGAGAGGGAGGAGAGAGAGGAGCAGAGAGAGGAGGAGGAACAGGATGAGGAAGAGAAGAGGGAGGCATGGAGGAGGAGGAGGAGGAGGAGGATCAGTGTAAACCCAAGAGGCGTAAACGATGTTGCAATGAACCCTCCCTCCAACTTCCATCTTCATAGGTCCCTGCAAAGATGTATGCTCACTGTGGGAAGTGGCCAATTCGAGGGGAATCCTACTTCGTGTCAGAACACCACCCTTGGGACTTCAACACCGCGAATGAGCGTATTTGTTGCGCCCCGACAATCCTAAACTGCGCCAGAACACCATACCTGGGAATTCACGCATACGAATCCTTGAAACTGTCGCAAGCTTGAAGTACGAATGTGCGCGGCGCTATGGCGAGAGCCACATTTTGAAAAGGATCCGCCTTCCCTCGCTGTTTACACTGTCACAAACGCTAAAGACGAGTCCATCCTTGAAGCTTCTGCAAGTTTTCAAGACGAAGGTGCTCGGCGCCAAGGCGAGCCACAGTTTGAAAACAACCTGCTCTCCTTGCGTGAAGCTATCGCAAATGTTTAAGACGAATGTGCACGGAGCTGAAGGCGAGAGACACATTTAGAGAACGACCCGCCGCTTACATGAGCGAAACTGTTGCAAACGTTTGAGGCGAATGTGTTCGAAGCAAGAGAGAGAGAAAGAGAGAGAGAGATACAAAGAGAGAGAGAGAGAGAGAGAGAGACAGACAGAGAGGGAGAGGGGGTTCTAAGCGGCCCGCCTTCATCCGTGATACTGATGCTAATATCAAGCTTCAGGATCATATATACGGTGAGGAAGTCTCAGGCGAAATGCCCGACCCGCCGTACCGACACGTCTGGGGGTGCGACGAAGAGGATTGCCTCATAAGGTAAAGGAATGGAGGGGGAGGTGATGGAGATGGGGAGGAGGAGGAGGAGGAGGAGGAGGAGGAAGAGAGGAGGAGGAGGAGGAGGAGGAGGGAGACGGAGGAGAGAGAGAGAGAGAGAGGGAGGAGGAGGAGGAGGAGGAGGAGGAGGAGGAGGAGGAGGGGGAGGACGCGCAGGAGGAGGAGGAGGAGGTAGAGAAGAGGGAGAGGGAGGAGGACGAGGAGAAGGACGAGGAGGAGGAGTAGCAGCTGCGGCAGCAGAGGGAGCAGAAGACGGAGGAGAGGGAGGAAAGGGAGGAGGAGGAGGAGGATGATGAGGAGGAGTTGTTTTCGGCCACTTGGCGAGTGTCTGGCCACAGGGGCCAGAGGGAAAACGGGCCCTAAATAGTTGGAGGCCACTGTGGCTTTGCCAGTCATGTGGAACTACTCCAAGAAAGGCCAGCCTGCGATTATCATCTCGTCGTTGCCCCACTCGGGGCGACTGTTCTGTTCCGTAGCGACGCAACTTGTGCTGCGCCGCTTCGTTGCGCTTCCAACCAGGTACACCAAACCTGGCTCCATGCAACAAGGGCGCCCTGGTGGAAGCAAAGTGATTCGCGCTTTGCGGTTCGGCTCCGATTCCTCCTCATTATTTTTGTCTCCCCTGTGGGGCGGTGCGAGAACGCGAAATTATTCGCGCTTCGCGCAGCGCGAAGTGCGAAGCTAGACGCCCTTGGTGCAAGTAATCTTGCCAGACTTCAATAGAAAAACAGCCTCTCCCCGCCCTTCCGCAGCGCGAGCAGCGTCCACTGCACGGGCCTGGCCGGACGACAAGGTGGCAAACCGTCGTGTATTCGACTCAGATTCGACGCGAATTAGTCGACGCGGACCACAGCGAGGATTATTCGACACATATTCCCCCCGACGTAGTTGCCCTGATACGCTTTTTTTGAGGCCCAACACGTACCGTATTCAGAACGTTCGCGTTAACACGCTGCGTGTCGGCTCAGCATGTGTTGGCCCACGTGTCGGCGAAATATCCGAGCCAGGCTTACGTTTTAAGTCTACGTGTTGAACTCCGTGTCAACTCGCTACGTGTTGCGTGTTGCGTATTGGGGCAGCTGAGCCCCCTGAAGATGCAGCAGAAGTCGGGCGCCGCGGACTCTTCCCAGCGCAGGCCCCCAGAGGAGGTCCAGTCTGCTTCGCTGGGACCCGCTGCTCATCTCGGGGCCTGGGAGCCCGGCAAGGGTCCTCGGAGGCCGAGAACGGGCGAGGACCTCCCGGCCGACTTCTTTGCGCAGCGAGAGGAGGCCGAGCATCGCTAGGACGTGTGCGGTTTTTCCTCGGGCAGGACCATCCAGGAGCATGTTGAAACATCTTGCTAAACAAGTGCACGCATCAAACCGAACAATGCACTGCGAATGGACGTCCGAGCGATGGCAAGGAGGTGGGGGGCAATCGAATCATGATAAGCCACATAAGCATAAACTTTTGGATATCTGCGCAGATTTCTAGGATCGGCGCCAGAGGCGCACCACGGAGGCCTGAAAGCTTTCGTTCAGGTTGATGCAGTCTTCTTCCTCTCATAACTCGGGCCTCGGGCGGCCGTTCGGGACAATCTACGTAGGCACCCCCAGGACGCCTACCTCTGGCGAGGCGCTGCCGCTGGAAAGCACCCCGAGGTTGGAAAGCCGCCAGGGACCGACGATAACTGTCGAAAGCCTCGGACCTGAACCACATGTCGTTGGGGCCAGATGATGGGTCGAAATCGAGAACCACTTCCCGCATTTGTTTAATGCCGCCGCCGCCTCCGTCGTTGTCGTCGTCTTTGTCGTCGTCGTCGTCGTCGTCGCCGTCATCGTCGTCGTCGTCGCCGTCCTCGACCTCGTCGTCGTCGTCGTCGTTCTCGTCGTCCTCGACGTCGTCGGCACCTGGCAGGCTGCAGGCGACCGAGGCCCTGCTGGCCGACGGGAGCGGGTGGCCCGCGCTCGCGCTCAGGCCGGCGCCGGCCGAGGCGGGCCCACCTGGCCTCGCCGCCCGCGGCGCTGGCGGCGCCGCGGCGGGGAGCAGCGCCAGGGCGGGAGACGAGCTGCAGGCGCCGCTTTTTGTTAGTCAGCGGCCGCCAGAGGATCGGACGGCGGTCGCGCAGCGGCGGGGCGAGCCGCAGCGCAGCGAGGCACAGGGAGGACGGCCAGGAGAGTCTGGAGAGGGGGGGCGAGGGACACACACATTCAGGCCATGAAAGTGTGCATGTGCGTGCCGAGGGGCACGCCCTTGAAGTGCAGTCCGAGGGCGGAGCCGACCAGGGGTTCAAAATGCTTTTGTTCACTTGTATACTGTTATATATGTATATATGTGTGCGTTTGTATCATACATGTGAACATATAGGTGCATACGCATCGATCTGATATCTGTAGCACGGGGTAGGCGTTCGGAAACATCTTATCCCCCGTTGTTCTTCTTCTCTCACTTCGTCAACGAAACTTCCACGAGGCCACCCAGGGGGCCTTCGGAGACCCTCCAAAAACGTATCAGATATGCTCTTCAGAGGCTCCCCAGAGACAGCTGGGAACCCACTAGAAAATCGACTCCCCCCTCTTCTGCCTCCACCTCCTCCTCCTCCTCCTCCTCCTCCCCCTCCTCCTCCTCCTCCTCCTCCTCATCTCCCTCTCATTCTCCTCTCCTCCTCCTCCTCCTCCTCCTGATTCTCCTCCTCCTTGGATCAGAGGAGCCAGGAGTCATGATAATGACACGTCCCGAGGTTACGAAGATTTCCACGTTTTCCTGTTGTCCCGCACGGTCTCCAGAAACGGATTTCTGGATTTCCTGGAACGCATCCTGAGCGAGTCGTAGCAAAACACTGGATCTCTGGGTCGAGGCTGTCGGACGTCGTCTCCGGGGCCACGTCTTGACATTCCTCTCTCCTCCCTCCTCCCTCCCGCGCCATGGTCGCCAGGGCTGGCTGCGCCCCGAAGTCCTAGTCAGAGCACTCTCTAGCAGAGGCCGGGTGCCAGTCTGTCACCGGCGACGTTGCCGCATGACGTAGTCGACGCCGTTGTCGTCGTCGGCGTCGTCGTTGTCGTCGTCGTAGTAGGCTTGGTTGTGGTTGTGACCGTCGTAGTCGAGATTGTCGTGGCTGTCGTCTTCCACGTCCTCGTCCTTGTCCTCGTCGTCGTCTTCGTCGTCTTCGGTCGGCCGGTCTGTCGTCGTCATCGGCGCTTTTGAGGCGTGGTTGGCAGCTGGCAGGCGGCACCTGGTACTTCACATGGATATCAACAAGACGGTGCTCATGTGCGACAGCGCGGGCGGCAAGGACTCCACGCAGGCGGCGTGGATGGGGCGACGACGACAACAACAATTACAACCATCATTTTAAGTCTGCTCGCTCTTCGTCGCTCGCGTGTCATTCATCATGTATACCCCCAAACTCTCGATACCAACCCTCGTCGTCTTCGATTGCACCCTGTTGGAGGTATACATTCCTTGCCTGCCAAACGTAGTCGGCGCGGCTCTAACATTGGAGCCGGAGGGAGACAGGAAACAGAGAGACAGCGAGGAAGGCAGGACGTAAACGGAGGGGAGGGGGGCAAGAGGGAGATAGCATAATTGAGCGGAGGGGAGGGGGGCAAGAGGGGAGTGATGGGCGGGTCAGGCGGGCGCACCCCGAGGGACGGGTCGGGCGCACTGGCCGTGACCCCTGCTCCCAGCCGGTAGACCCCCGTACCTGCCCCCGGGCGTGCTCTGACCAGAGTTCTGAGACCCAGCGAGGGCTGGCGACGAGGGCGCCACATCAGGAGGCCCACAGAGGGAAGGCGAACAGCGTCCACAGCAGTGCTGGGAATGGCACGGAATGGGGGTGCATCCAGGCAGGCACGGAGCTCCTTGGAGCGGCCGCCGCGCCCGACACAGCGTCCAGGCCCGCATGTTTTCAGGGATCCACGTTTCGTCCCAGCAGGTCTTGCCCTTGTCCCTTTGTCTTTTTCGTGGCCGTCATCGCCCGCGTCGAACCCTTCGTCCTCGTGGTCGTCGTCCTCCTCCTCCGCCTCCTCGCATGCGGCGGGGCCTCGGGCGGCCGCTAACAGCAAGCCGCTGCAGGGCAACGTGGCCTCGTCGCCGTCGTTGTCACCGCCGTCGTCGACGTCGCCGCTGCCGCCGTCGTTGGCGGCGTCGTGGTAGGCTCGGTCGTCTCGAAGGCGCGAGCGAAGCTCCCATGGGAAGCGACAGCCGACGACGTCGTCGTCGTCGCCGCTGTTGCCGACGCATCCGCCGTCGCCGTCGTCGTCGTTTTAGCCGTCGTTTTTGTCGCCGCTCGCTTCCCGTCGTCGTCGTCGTCGTCGTCGTCGTCGTCGTCGTCGTCGTCGTCGTCGTCGCCGTCCCAAGGGTGGAAAAAACAGCCCCGACCTTCATCATTTGCGCTTGATAGACGGTCTTCTGCGTTTGCGAAGCAGCCCAGGCCCCGTTCGACTCCCTCTCTTTAGGTGCGCCTACCGAACGGCTGCGACAGCCGGGGCGCTTCTGATGAGGTTGTTTCTTCGGCTGTCCACAGTCAGGGAAGCGTAAGATTCGCATTCGCAAGAACTCGCGTTTGCCGATGCTTTTTTGACAGGCCTGTCCTGGACGTTGGCGGCCCAGCTTTCGTTGGATGTTTGCAGGGGGGGGGGGATCGCGTCAGTTTTCAGTCCCCCGAACACGAAACTTACGTTTCCCTGGTTTTTGATGGCGCGGACCCCCAGCGGTCTGGGCCCCTTCCTGTGGACCAGCTTTTCATCCTGAGTCGTTTCTTGATGGTCCCGGGGTCCCGCGAGGGTCCCCAGAGGCCAAAAATACAGGAACACCTCCTCTGAGATCCGACGTCGCGGAAGACTTGCACCATCGCCACGAATCACGACCGGAGCTCTGGACCCCGTGGCATCTTTCTGCAGGCGGCATGTTCCGAGCCAGAGCGGTCTGTGAGGGTCCCGGGGCCGAGACTGGACGAGAACGCCCGGCGTGCAAGAACTCAACTCCAGGAGCAGTTCGTTTCACGCCGCGAGGGGGCCCGGGCCCCGAGAGGTGGTGCACGAGGTGATCGCCAGCACCTCCTGGGGCGTGGAGGTGGACGGCCAGTGGCTGCTCCTCGAGGGCTCGGCCCCCGGCGTCCTGCGGCCTGAGGGCGACGGCTCCCGCTGGCCGACGACGACGCCGGCGCCGGCGCCGACAACGACGCCGCCGCAGCTGACGCCGGCGCCGACGTCGCCGACGACGAACGCATGCAGACGCCGCCGCCGCCGCCGACGTTGCCCACGACGCCGACGACGCCGCCGACGACGGCCGACGACGCCGACCGTCGTCGCGGCTGGGCTCGCCCCGGAATCCTGGTCAGAACGCGCCTTGGGAGAGGGGCTCCCTCCTGCCGCCGACGCCGACGCCAGCGCCGCCGACGACGCCGCCGATGACGACGCCGACGGGGACAACGACCACCACTTGGAGGAGGAAAATGTACCGATGCCGCCACACTTCCCTCGTCGCGGCTGGTCGCGCCCCGGAATCCTGGTCAGAGTGTGCCCTGGGAGAGGTCCACGGAGTAGCGGCATCGGTATTTCTGTTTCCCTAACCATGACGTCGCCGACGCCGTCGCCGCCGCCGCCGCCGCAAACGCCGTCGCCGACGATGACGACGACGACGACGACGACGACGACGACGACGACGACGACGACGACGACGACGACGACGATGACGACGTTGCCGACTACGACGACGACGACGACGACGACGACGTTGACGAGCGGGATGAGGAGGCGCATGAGCAGGGAGGGAGGAAGATGACGAGCAAACGATCTTGCGTTGGGGGCGGGATCCCTGGAGGTTTTCGTGCCCTGGGGTTCCTTTCCGAAGCGTCCGCCGCCCTGGGGGGCCCCGTGAGGAAGTCGGAGTCACCCCGAATGGCCGCCGCCCGAAGACAGAGTTCTAGTCCGAAAACAATGAAAAGGGGTGGGAGGAAGGGGGGTGGGAGGATTTGGGGGTTTTTCGCTCTGATTGGGCGGTTGGGGTGGTTGCCGTCGTCGCCACTGCTGAATCCGCCTCGGAAGCCTTGTGGTTAGACTGCGCCATCGGAGGGGCCAGGCGCTGCGTTTTGAGGGGGGAGGACGAGGACGGTAGCCGCAACACACGGCGACGAAGCGGACGGGGAGGGTCAAGGAGGAGGAGAACAAGTAGGACGACGATTGCGAAGGCTCTGGGGACGTGCTGAGCTACGCGGAGGCCCCCCTGTGATCGTTTTTGACGTGCATGTGGTCGTGGATATCGTCGGTGTCGCCGTTGCCATAGTCGTCCCCGTGGTCGTCGTCATTGTCGCCGCCGTGTTCGTCGTCATTCGTCGTCATTGTCGCCGCGGTGGTCGTCGTCGTATCGCCCTGGTCGTCGTCGTGGTCGTCAATGCCTTCGTCGTCGTCGTCGTCATTTGTCGTCACGTCGCCGTCTCATCGTATTGGTCGCGGTCGTCGTCGTCGTCGTCGTCGCCGTGGTCATGGGTGCTGTCATCCTCCTCCTCTCCCATTCGCCTCCCTCTCCTTCTCCTTGCCTGCCCTTCTTGACCAGGCGCGGCCACGATGAGACCCTCCTGTCCCCTTGCCCCGGTCCCCTCCTCGCAGGATCCCCGGGAGGAAATTCGTGGAGCAGGTCGCGTGGCAGACTGTGTAGCGGAGCGCCTCGCCCAGGACATCTGTGGTTGAGGGTCGCCTGGCAGACTGCATCGCGGAGCGTTTCCAAGAGCGAGAAGTCTCCCCCCTATCGCAGGGCCCTGCAGCTCGCTAGCGGCCCTCCTCCCCGCGGCAGCGGGGGAAGCGCGCCCCCCCCCCCCCCCTCGACAGGCGAAGAGGCCCCGCGGGCCTGCCTGTGATTCGGGCGGGGCTCCGCGTGCTGGGAGGGGGGGCCCGCCTTCCCGTGCTGCACGTCGTAGCACCTGCAACGAGAGGCAGGGCCGCAACGGCTCCATAGGCTTACGCCGCATCCGCCGACCCCTTACTTGACTTCAAGGTTGTGGTGGTGTTTTTCGGTGTTTGGAGGCTTCTTGCGGCGGAATCAGGCTAAAATCTTCGGTTCGGGGTTCCCGGCTTGGGTCCGTGTTGTGGCCCGCTTGGAAGCTTCTTTGGCCGGTCATGGGACCTCTTTGGCCGTCCGGTGTTTTTTGGGGCCGTCTTGGAGCTTTCTTGGGTGTTTGTTTGGCCCGTCTTGGACGTAGTAACAAACCAACAAACGAGTATGATAAACATATACGATTGCCGTCGGGAATTGGATGATGTTGTCGCCTTCGGCCCATCCTAAAGCAGTTACGTCGATGATTTGCTGATCGTTGGAGGTGAAGTTTCAGACCGACCGAGGTCATAGTAGGGGCCAGGGAAGCCTTGTTGACAGCGCCGCAGGATTTCACAGCGGGCGTCTGGCAGTGCGAGGTAATGCCACGAGCTTTGCGTTACCGTGGCAGGGGATATTGCAGGAGCTCCGCCAGCTGGGGAAGGAAGGGCGACAGGGAAGCGACTCGGCGCTGCCGATTGTGGGAGACAAGTTGGGATCGGTGGTGCAGATCCTTCTGAAACGCAACGGCGCATCTACTAAGGACAACTTGCCGCGCTTCATACGTCAAGCGAAAGTGCGGCGCGAGGTTGCGAAGCGCCACATCAAGATGATGAAGCAGCGCGGACACAAGGCCTTCGTGAATGTCGGCGTGGAGCCTATGGAAAGAAAGGCCGAACAGCTGCCGAGGGATGGCGTGCCGCCAGAGATTGTCCGGCTGCTGCCGCATGACACGACGTTGGACAAGCTTAAGGCGCAGAAGAATGCGACGCCGTGAGTTGGGCGCGAGATGTTGTGGGAACGGCTGCGCGCGACATGGACTTGCGTACGCCGCATGCCGCCATGATGGAGAAGTCGTCGGTGGACGAAGTGGACGCGGACAAGTTGAGGCAGGGTGCGCTGGAGCATGTATCTGGGAGTTCGCCAGCACCGCGCGGACGTCGAGGTCCAGGCGCGACGACGGCCGTCCAGGAGGGTGCATGCGCCAGAGAGGCGCAACCAATTTTCGCGTTGCGTCTCTCAAGTACGTGGGCGGGTAGGTGCGACAGGCCCGAGTGCCCCGTGCGGCGGAGATAGAGAGGAGCGCGCTCTCGCGAGGACGAGCGCAAAGGGGGGGCAGGGCGGCGAGTGTGGATCTGGAGACTGTGCAGTTCCGGCTGTGGGAGATGATGGGTGCGGACGCGTCCCGAGTTCGTCTTGTCGTGTATCTAGAACGCCAGATGATGAATCAGTTAGTTCCGTGTGTTTTTGTTTCGGGGTGGCGTTTTCTTTTCTGTTTCAAATACGGGGTGCGGATGCCAGACCTGCCTGAGTGGCAGGCGAATTCGCGCCATCGACGCGGCCCAGCGGCGCCCCGCGTGGAACTGGCCCTGTGGGCGCGCATCATGACGGTTGGGGTGGGTCGCTATTTCGGCGCGAGTGGAGATTTGGTTTTACGGCGTCGTCGGTCTTGTCTCAATGTTCTGCGAACATGGCGCGGTCCGCGCGACTGGCGGACCATCGGAAGGACAGGCAGATGGAATGACAGCATTCGCAAGGTGAGTGGGGGGGGGCGGCCGCGAGCATCGTCAATGCTTTGCGCGGCACGCACGAGGATCCGTCAACCAGGGAGGCCACGCTCGTGCGCGGGTATTTCTCGAAACTGAAGCACGCGCAGTCGCTCGACCCGATAGCGACGCAAATTGTTGCAGGGGCCAGCGGCGTCACTCGCAATCTTTAAGGGGCCAACCAGGTGCGGGCGCTCATGAGGCACGACGCCCACGCGGCGCGAATAGCGCATGGGTGCCGTTATTTTTTCACAATGTCACCGGACGAGAGACGCAACCTGGCGATGGCACGGCCCTCGCGGTCGCGGAAAAAAGTTCCCCGTGCATCGTCGCGCGGCGCGGGCGTTTCACGGCCCTACGCACGGGGGGTTGTCGGAGCCGTCGCTCGGCCACGCGGGGGGAACATCGGGGGGGGCCGTGTCCGGGGATTGGCGCGAGCAGGCGGGAGAGAGCGAGTCGGGCACAGAAGTGGTAGAGGGCGAGGACGACGCGGGCGCGGCCGCGCTTGCGTCGACGCTGGCAGATGCCGTTCCCGCGCCGGGCGAGAGAAGAGCAGTTCTAGCTCGGGGCCCGCTGGCGGGCGTGGATGGGTTCCGGGTCGTAGTGGGCCTCGAATTCGAGTGCATTTTGGGCATGCGGTAGCGTTCGAGGTGCCCAGGTTGCGAGTGCGCGGACTTGCGTGGCATCGACGCAGCGGCGGCGGGTGGGCGTTTGGGTCGCGCGGGCGGAGTGCATGGCAACAGTGAGGTTCAGAATTCCGCTGGAAGTCTGCACTTGCACGCGCAAGTCTTCGTTCAATGTTTGCGCCAGCGCGCTCCTTTGCATGAGCTTACGCAGCTTCCGACGGACGTTCTGTTGGGGCTGGTAGAGGAGCACGAGAGGCGCAAGAGAAACGCGAGTCGTCAGGGGCGCGCTGGCGCTGACAGATGGAGGGGTGGGGGGGGGGGGCAGAGCTGGAGAAGGCGCGGCCTTCGCGCCGCAAGACGACGGATCTGGTAGCGGCGCCGGAATACTATCGCAACGGTCAGACGAATGGATTGGGAGAGGCGGAAGAAGGTTGATGCAAACCAGCGCGCGGCGCTGCCAAATGCGCGCTCGTCTCTGGGGGAACAGATAACGGGGGGACAGCGAGCAAAGAAGGGCGAGCATGGCTGCAAGAGTACCTGGGCGTCTGGGTGCAAAGGGGGCAGGAGTTTCGTCGGAACCGCGTTCAACAGTGGAGTGAGCGTTTGCAGCGCGTGACACCATTGGCACATTGTCAGGGGAGACGACGTGGCGCTGTGCAGAAGCTTTTTCCCGCGCGCGACGTGGCTGATAGATCGCGCACTGGTAGTGCGCCGAGGTTTTCTGCGCAAGCGCGCGACGTGCGCCGAGCAGGCAGGAAAAACGTGACAGGTTGCTTTCGCGGGCGCATGAACGAGGAACACCTGGGCGGCGCGCTCCCAGCGATGCTGAGCGGCGCGGCAGGGTTGAATTTCAGCAGCGATCTGCAGATCCCGCATAGGTTCCCAGTGACGGGAGCCACGCGCGATAATTGCGCGCGCGAAGAGCGGTGCCAGGGGGCGGATCGGCCCATGGGCGCGGTGCGGGCAGCGCGGCGAGCGTGGCATGCAGCGGCGGGGTGCGCGGCTGATTACCAGTGCACACGGCGTGCCCCGTCGCTCAACAAGGCGAGGGAGATCATATAGGGCCGCCACGCGCTGGCGGAGCAGACGAAGGGCAGAACCGCTGCGAACCGAGCGAACAGGCATATGAAAAAGGTTTCTCAGTGACATGCACTGGGGGGGGCGCGGCGCGGTCAGCGCAGGAAAGTGCGGACCTGCGCGCGTGCAGGGACCTGAGAGACGTGGCCGGTGCCGAGAGTATCAAGACTGCGAAAACAGCCATGGTTCCGGGGGCAGAAGCAGCGCGGATGGCGGAGCGGTTCCGCGCAGACGGGCGGCGCGGCCGTGGCAGCGTCGGGGATCTTGGAAGCGGATGAACGAGAGGGGCCGAAAAATGTTCGAATTGCATTTAAGAGTCCAGTGTATTTGCATGGCATGCGCCCGACGGGTGATCCGGGAGCGCCCGACTTGGCGCGTTTGTCGCTCTGCGAGTTCTTTCGATATTGGCGCGTAGAGCTGGCGGCATTTCCTTGCGGCAGAGCGGGGGTGTTGGTTGCTGCCAGTGACGGGTACCAGGCGGAGCTAGCGATGTCTGGGATTGAGGAGGTCTTCGATGCAGGCCAGGAGAAAGCGGAAGCTGGCGAGGGCGGGCCACAGATGGGGGCCCAGTTGAGAGCAGGCGTGGGTTATGTGGCCGAGGAAGGTGGGAGTTTCTCGTGGGTGCCGTTCCGGGATGTTCCAGGGATGGAAACTCTGAGGCATGCCTGGGTGCTGGCGCGGAACGAGCGCCCGAGGGGCCCGAGCTTCCATGGGGCGCCGCAGCCGAAGCGCGGGGCGGGGGGGGGCGGGCTCCTGTTGATGGTGTATGTTGGGGAGTTCGTGCTGAGTGTCGTCGGCTGCGGAGTGCCGCGCTTGCCGGGTTTCCGCGCATGGGTCGTGGGCGGAGGCGTCGCTGGAATGGTTAAGGAAAGGCGTGGCATGTGAAGAGACGAAGAGGCACGTGCAAAACTGCATGAGCGTTGTGGACTCGCGGCAAGTC